AAGCATCTGTAGGATGCATATAAACGTTAGATAGCCTGTTGTACCAGCCCGTCATTCAAATGGTAAAAATTTTTTTGAAAATTCCACTTCGTGACAATTATTATTTTGCTGAGATTTTTCAATTAAATTGTTCTCACAAGTTTTGTGATCATGTAGAAGAGGAACGATTCGAATTTTTTAGCAATATTAGAAAATGCACTTTATGCAGTAATAAAGTATGGTTATTATGTATTAATTTAAATATTGGTTTCCTTATGCCGTTTACCATAGTTTATCGTTTATATTAGGGTAGTTATTATTCACAACGAAATGCTCTAATCAATTTTTTACAAATATTCTCATGCTACATCACTGTTCTTTATGGGGGGGGTGAATAGAAACTCTTTAGCAAAAGTAATTTGATATTTTTAAATGAAAAATTATTGATATTTATTCATTAGAAATTTCGGTATAAATTAATCACATGAACTCAAATTAACAGAATAAATAATTTATATGTATAAATCGTAAAAGAAAACACTTTTCGTTAAAATTACACAAAATTTGTAAATATTGGTAGATACACATTAAAAGGAGATAAAAAATCAAAGATAAAAAATTGCATATAAAAGGAGAGGTAAAGATCTTTTATCTAGTTAATTGGTTAATCTTAGAAATCATTTTTAAACTTTTTCTTTTATTTTCAAAAACGTTCGCATTTAAATTTAATTTAATGTTAAATTTATGCTCATATTTCTATTCTAATTTATTTTCTTTAAATTTATTAAGATAAATATAACCTAATTCTTTTACTTAGAAATGTTATTTATGTAACATAAATAAATTACTTTCTTAACATTTAATTTTTATTTTTAAAAATTAATTGTAGTAAAAGCTTGTTAATATTAGCTGCCAAAAAACATGTATTTCTGTTTATCTGATTTATTTTTATGCTGAAAGTATTACGTAGAAAATACACAGTTAAACTAATGTATGCTATATAAAATATTTATTTGCTTTACAACATAGATTTTTTATTTTTGAAATATGTATAGTGTTTTATCATGGTGAATTCAAAAGAAATATTAAATTGTTCTATAAATATTCTAATCTGTTTTTATACGTGTTGAATAATTTTCCCTTTATACACGTCAAATTTATCACTGTTTTAGCTTTATGAAAAGTTATTCCTTCCATTTTAGCTTTTCTGTAATCTTAGGAAGAGAGTGATTTAAAAAACTATGAAAAACTTTAAACCATGACGCTCAAAATTAAACCACTTTTGCAGGCGTTGACAGAGATTTCTATTATTTGCACACATTTTATGCGTCCATGTTGCGTAACATGTATTGCCAAAAGATGCCAAGACTGCTCTTATGGGGTGAATAACTGGAAATGATCCTATGTAGTTGTAAATAGTAGTAGTTAAACCTTAATAAACATGTTATAGAATAGCATGAAGGTAGACATTTAAAGAGGGTGCTTTAACGTCAGTATGTTGCCACCGTATCAACGTTTCTTTTTTAATTGTAGCGGTGACGTTTGAGGCCTATGCTTTCGTGAAAGCATAGTGACTGTCATATGCCACTTCTAACTTATATTTATACTGATTACTGGCTTTTACCTCTTTTACTTCCATACCACATGAACAGAAAAGTGAGTGACTAAATATATATATATGCATGCTATATCTGTCAATTTTTCATGTTACCATCTGCTGTAGAGGTCATTATAATCGTGTTGATTAATTATTAGCGTCACAATTATTAGTTTTGATTGCTGTGAATAATTAAATATTCTAATTTTTACAGTGTCACAGCACTTGGCTTTTTAACATCTCACTTATTAACCAACTAATCTGCAAAAACTTTACTAATACCGGGTCATTTATGAGCATCTTAATTTCTTACGGGGAGTAGCGTCTTGCACAGAAAATATCCCCATGTTTGCATATTGCTTAAAAAAATATTTGAAAATTTCCATGAATACTATTTCTAGAGACTCTACATCAATATTCATGTTCAATAGGATTCGAATTTAACTTTCTTTCTAAGCTGACTTTTTCTAATTAGTTAGGTCTATAACTACAGCGTCTCAAATTAGATTCACAATTTTAATTACTTAAAAATATTAGAACAAAAATATGTACAGTAGATTGATTATTGAACTGTTTGAAGTAAACAGTCATTAAAATTCGTTATTACAACAAAAATTGACTGCTTAATAACACTCGAGCAAATACGCTTTGGATTGAATAAGCTGACGAGAATTGAATAGAAAAATTAATTTCACAAGTTAGTGTTGAAACCTGGTATTTAGAAAAGATTTACTTTTCCAAATACGTTTCTCTTTGAGGTGGTAAACTGAAATTTCAGTAAAATGAAAAATAATAAAATTATTTCCAGTACCCAAATGACAGCCCCACAACTCTTATATTTCGCATATGCTAAATAAGGATGATAATTTTTTAAAAAGTATATGTTATTTGTGAAAAAAAGATTCATTCTTGGGAGAAATATAAAATTAAACGTAAAAAATATTAATATTAAAATAGAATTATTTAAAATTATGTCAGATTGTGTTGTTGATGATGTTTATAATATTTGATTTAACTTATCAATTTTAGTGAAACAAATGCAATCCTCTTTTTTCTTGTGAAATATTTTCCCTTCATTTTCTCCAAATCGATTGAGTTACTGTAGTTTAAATGCCCAAAGGATCATACTTAAAAACCAACTTAAGAAAAGAGAATGATATTTTAACTACTGGCTCAAAAGATATTCCTTTCCTTATACTCTTTTACTGTTCAGTCTACGGAGCAATAAAAGTTCGTTTAAGTCATCGATTTGAGACAGTAGTAATTCCAATTTTGAAAAAAATCCCTTCTCGTAGTGCTAACGACTTAGGGTTCATTCATGATAATAAGGCTAATGGCTTTTTTTGTCGCTTTTCGAGTGGCCAAACACTTAGTGTTAATGTGGAGTTAAACATTTGATAACTTCATACTGAATACTGAATTTCACTTGCAAAGTGTGACAATTCTGTTTTCTGTCTTTCGAAAATGACAGTTTTTACGCTTGGGCGGAACTTTAAGCTTTATTTTAATGATAGATGTGAAAAAATCTTCCTTCCTTAAGTTCACCCATTTCACAAAAAACTATATCTGCTATGTAATTTCGTACAATTGTAGGCAATTTTTTCTGCTAATTTTTGTAGAACCAGTTGGTGAATTAGCATTAAATAACATATTATATAACATAATATATATATATATATATATATAATATAATATTAAACAACACTAATTTCAACTATGACAAATTTGAATAAAATAACATTCTAGTTTTCAAATAAATACAGCTATGCCTTAAATGGTTGATACAAAGTCAGGATTTGCAAGCAGTGAGAAGGATACTGCTTTACTAGGGTTTCTTAAAAAAGAAAAATGCTTTCTTAGAAGAAGGCAATCATATTTTCCATGTTCTCCATTTAAGAGATAAAATTCTCTAAAAAAAGGGAGAAATAATGTAAAATATTAGCAAGTGAGTAATTATATTTATTTATCTTAATTATTAGTATTTAATTAATATTTAAGATAAATAATTTTTAATTATTTTACTATTACTTTTATTGAAAAATAAATATTAAAATAAGTATATAATTTTGAAAAATAATGTATTTATTATTCAACTTGTTGTTCATAATTTTTAACAAATTTGGGTAAAGGAAATTTTAAGAAAAGAATTAGTTGAAATTAAAAGAAACGAAAATATTTAAAAATGCACATATTTGAAGAAAGTCACCGTGGTTAATTTATGGAATGTAATATGTCATACTCTTACTAACAAGAAGCCATGAAATACTGTTGTTTAAGAACAAGAACATTTATAATCATTATCTTATATCGATGTCATTTATTTGGAATTTATATTTTCGTTCAAAAAAGGATAGTGGAGGGTGTTGTTGAAGACCGCAGTAGCTCTAAAGATATAGATTGAATATTTTAAAGAACCTTAGTCTTTGAGGAAACTCTATGGGGTCACATCCGATGGAACGGAAAGGTGGAACATGAATACATATCTATATATATTTTGCAATTGCTAACAAGATCTGTGCTTGCTTGATCGATTATAGTTTACTCTACGTCCACTTGGAGATGATTTTGAGATCAAGCAAAAGACATGCTTTCAGTAAGGCACTGAATACTTATCTTTTGTTTGAATTCAATGTCTACAAGGGCACCAGGTATGCTTATTCTTATCATTTAGTAAGGTACAGAATACATGTTGCTTGTATGTATTCAGTTCCTACATTGCATTCTTCAAGAATAAACTATATTATGTTCCCCCATATAAAGCTCCTTACATTTACCAAAAATATAGTACATTATATGAACCAAAAAATAAATTACACGCCACAAAAATTATGAAGGGAATAATTTTTAATCAGGTTGAATTTTGTAGTTATCTTCCAAGTTATTGCAGTCTGAAACAAACAAAACAAAAATCATTTGCTTAAGACAAAGTGACCATCAAAAACCGCGTTAAGAATTTTCTCTTTTACATGAACAAATGTACAAATGTCTTTTAATGGCATTCATTGAGAGTTTCTTATATTTTTAGAAAAGTTCATTTCCTTATACCTCATAAAAACCATGGGTTTTACGAATTTTTGAACCGACACTTAACGAGAAATTTCGTTTTTTGCGATGTGTATGTGGGGCTTCAATATATGTTGTTGTCGCTTATCCCACTTGGCTGGCCAAGCCCACGAGCCCATACGTACTCATGATTGAAGGGGAAGGAAGCAGCTTCTGTTGTGATGGAGCACCCGTAGGTAGAAGTCTGACTTTGGCTCCGTGAAGCTCTTACATTCATAGGAGACCGGGACCTACGGCTTAAAGTGGATTCCGAACCACTACAAACATCCATGGCACCGCCGGGACTCGAACCCGAAACCTGTGGCACCGAGCGCCAGAGCGCTAGACACTCGGCCATTCAGGTCCCAAATTTGTGAATGCCAACAGCATGCGGTGTTCCCAGGTGGTCACCCACCCAAGTACTGTCCGCGCACAATGATGCTTGACTTCGGTGATCTAATAAGAACCGGTATATTCAGCATGGTATGGCCGTTGGCCTTCCAATATATAAAAATAAGAACAATGCGAGTAATTTATTTAAGGAGGACTTATGAATGAAAAATTATAATTTTTTAATGATCGAAAAAGACTTTGACTGGTTTTACTTAAGATCAAAAAGGAATGCACTTATGAAAAAAAGGTATTAATATTTAATACAAAGAATGATTGTAATTCATCCAAAAAACAGCGTTTCTTTTTTATGAAAAAAGTAACACTCAAATATTTTTAAATACATGATTTTATAAAAATAAAAGCAAATTCAAGATATTTTTTATTTATTTAAAAAGAAAAAAATTACTTCAACTTAAAACCAAATGTACTACTTTCTGACACAAAAAAAATAAAATTTGAAAAAAATTCACGAATTTGATTTTTCGAACTCGAAAAATAACGTGATTTTATTAAAGAAAACACGAATTCTCTCCCTAATGATATAAACGTTTAATTTCTGTGCCCAGATCTGAATTCCCCTTTTTGTGTCACAATTTCGTAATTTATCTAACTCGATATCCAATTGAAGTCGTTTCTGAATGACAATGTCGTTTTTAATGCACTGCACGAATGTATGCCATTCTTTCTTGGCAACCTTCCAAAGGCAGGCTCTTTTACCTGTGTGCCGCAATTTCGCGCCCTCCATAAAAATCAATAGCACTCCAAAGTCCCATTCACACGAATTCACACGAAGAATCACCAGGAAAATCACAACTTACAACCATGTCTCGGAGTGAAATTGTACGAGAAAATCAGCCAACGAAATTTAACGATCAATGGACGAGAAAATTGGAGGGTTCTATCGAATTTTAAGGGCTGAATTTACAACAAAATCAAAGGATCCTAATGGCTTTTAACAGTCGAGCGTGTTTTAGGGGTCATATTTACATGAAAATAATCTTCTAATGAATTTTAATTCAATTCCCAATCGGCTTAAAATTCAGAATTCATTTTAAGTAAAACCAAAGAATAATTTGAAGATTGGAGAATCTCCAAAAAATTTAAGGCTCACATCAGAGTACCCAACCATTAGATTTCTTTCAGCAGCATTTGAAATACAACATTTTTTTTCTATCTTCTCATAAATGTATTACACATTTAATTATAAATGTCAAGCTAAAGAGCTGTTTAAACTAAGATATTCAGACTGTCAAATAAGTTGTTGCAATATTTGATTTCTTTTCAATGATGTTTTTTTTTTTAAATTACTGAGTAGATCAAGAAGATTTAATCAACGTAATAAACATTTTATAATGAAAAATAAGAACTACAGTTTGATATTTAAAACAAAATTTTAAATTTACCTTCAATATTTTGAACATTTTTTTATGTAATTACTTAAAAAAATAAATGTAAGCTAATAAAAATTTCATTGCTTTAAGGAAATTTAAGATTTTAAGGTTGGTCGCCTTCATAATAGGGCTAGAACAGATAAGGCCCACCTTCTACAGGCTGGACACACCTGGTCTAAAAATAAGAAAGGTTCAGAACTACATTTTTAATGAAAAAATAATCCATAAAAATTGTAAAATTTCCGGGGCAAAAACCGTAAAAGGACAATTCCTCTAAAAGGCACGAGGACTTCGCACACCGAATTAAGAAATTAATCAAAAAGATTTTTAAGAATAAATTTTTAAAAAAGCATCGTAAGATATACAGAGTATTGCTACCAAATTAAAAAAAATATAGATTATTCATGAATAAATATGCTGTGAGAAAAATTTATATTTACTCATTCACTTAAAAAGAACAAATTTATAAAATAAAAAAAAATAAAAGCTAAGAAACATATGGAATTAAATATTTTTTCTTAAAAATTTTCTTCTGAAAATGTGTTGAATTTTAGCTTTTATTGACATTTTCATACGAAATTTGGGAAAAAAAATTAGAATTAACAAAAATGATAATTTTTATTAAAATTAGCGTTACAAATGTAAATACGCAAGAAAAATCTGATCAGTTACTTTGCAAAAGATTGAAAAATTATGCCAATTAAACATGTACCCTATCGTGTAAAAAAGGGATTGGGTTTCCATTAAGAAAAAAAAAAACATACACGGACTTCATATACTTCCTTCTCTGAGCTAGAAAGCCTCACAGTTTATATAGTTGTCATTCTGAATCGATAAGTAAAATCCAACTTAAAGATTTGTCATTACATGAAGGATTAGCAAAGTATTTGTACTTGACGATTTTGTGGCATTAATTCAGTGACTTTTGTAACGGAAGCTTTGTGTATTCAGTGTTTTCAAAATCTTTCATTTAAGTTTGCTTCAAAATACTCTTGAATTAAGCTCTTTTTTTTTTTCTCTCTTTTTGCATCTTGATGACGCACTTTGTATATTATGCATTTTAGATAAAATAAAATTATTTCATAATAATTTAGTTATTAATTATTTAAGAACTTTTCTTTTTTAAAGGCCGGAATATAAAAAGTGTAAACGAATATTCAATTTACATTTCGCTTAACAATGGAATCTTTTTATATGATTGCAGACAAATACAATGTTTCAAAAATAAAAAGAATCTATCCACATATGAGCACTTTAACAAAAATTTCATAAAATATCTTTTTCCTAGCAATAGAAAAAGAAGGATAACAAAAGGCTTTCGGATATTTTCATCGCAGTTTCTTTGAAACATTTGCTTCGTAACAATGTTTAAATGTATTTATTTTTGTGACATTTCAGCCAACATATTCTTTACCGTTAAAAGTTCGCCAAGTTCGTAATATACTGCTTTTAAGAAAGTAATACAGAGAGGGATGTTTCAGGTTGCTTTTTTTATTGCGCGGAGTCATATTTCGTACTATTTTCTTTCATCATGTCGAAAAATCAGCTGTATACTATTACAACTATTTCTGGAGGAAGGAAATTGCTTTTAGCGGACCTATGCATTGGTTGTATTTTTCGAAGTCGAGTTTTTCTCGAAGGCACTTATGAAAGACAACTGAATGTGCTTTCAAGGGTTTTGAAGCGCTCGACACTTTAGCTTAGAGAGTGCTCTGAGGTAAAAAAAAAGCACTAGGTGTATTAGAAACGGATATTTTTCTTTTTGAAACTGGAGATTGTATGTTATGTGACAAAAAGATCTTACGACAAAAAAAAAAAGGTGTTTCTCTTTTAACTTATTTTAAAAAGAAACATTTATCATGAAACTATACTACACTGTGGCTACCAATTTATTATAAAAACTCGGTAGCGAACTCCATTGTAAGGTACAGCTTCAGATGGAATTTTTCTTTAATTCCTTTTTCTGTCTGCTGTAAATCACTTCTGTAAGACAATTCTAATTTCTGAATATTAAATGAATGATATTTAAGGAACATTAATTTTGTAATAATAATTATCTGGAATAGAAATCGAAGGAATAATGAACAATTTTTTTTCTTTACAATTCCTTCTTTTTGACATTTCTCCTAATTGAACTTGTGCTGAATATTCCCAGTGTTGCTATTTTATATCATTAACTCAACTAATCCCTATATTTATGAACTTGACTTTTAGACCACTACGAGATTAATGACAAAATGTAAACCTAAATAAATTGCTTCTCATATTACTCACGCAAATCAATACTATATATTCTACATCTTTATAATCCAATTTATAATGAATAAAATTAAATAAATCCCTTGTTAAATTTATTCCAAATATCACTAGTGTCATTTATTTCTTTTATCTAAATAAATACTACAGCTTTTATATAGTTTGAATGAGATATTTTCAATTCGTCTATTACGTCCAGCATTAAATAGAATTAGCATTTATCATCGGTAATCTTTTGAATGGCTAACTTAATTCCATTCGTAACAGCTTATTTTTTAAAATCAGGAATTTTCAGTAAAAAAAATGAACGCAATGTCGGAAATAACATGCTTGCTGTCTTTTTAAACACCACGTGTAAATTTTATCATTCAAGATAAACATCAGTTTCACTTTGAAAGTTTTTTATAATACAAATTAAAACTTCCTATAATTTATATAGACTCTATTAATAACTATGCCTTGTTAATATTGTTTAAGGGATTTTGTATTCTGAATCTATCCCGAGTTTCGTTAATCTAATTAATTTATTTTTATTTTGTTATTATTACATTGTTTGCCTTCATTAATATTTATCAGATCCATGGTCATCACATAATTCGCAAAAAAAAAAAATGCTTAAAACCCCAAATTTTCACAAAATTGATAAATAAGCCTTAAACTGTTTCACTCTGGTCTTAATGACGAATCTGCAACTGTCCAAGTCACGATTTTCCCTACTACAGCATTCTTCAAAAAATTTATTTACATTTGCACTATCTTCCTCTAATGCTTTATCATATGTATGCTTTATCACTACCTCCTCCCAATTAAGAATACGTTATTATTAATCTGTCCCATTTTTCAGTAATCTAACTGATTTATTTTTATTTTGTTATTGTTATATTTTTTGCTTTCATAAAGATTTTTCTGATCCATGATCTCCTACAATTCATGAAAGGGAAAAAAAAAGGTTTCTGAACCCCCTCCCATTTTCATCAAAATTGATGAACGTTAACTCATTCTCGTTGGTCGTAATGATCAATTCATCCAAATCAACTCGAGATTGTTCATACTTCACCATTCTTAAAAGAATTTATTTATATTGAGTTATAAAAATTTAAAAAAAGTTAGGGCTTTATTAAGATTATCATTATTTGAAGTTTTAGATTCGATTAAAAGAACTTGAAAAAGAAAAAAATATTTTCTCGAATCCATCCAACAGATTTGAAGCAAATAGAACACACCATGAAGCTTCTTTTCAAGATCACATGTCAGGCAAAACGTATGAGGTGGTGTTCGACCACCGATTGTGGGGAAATGTAAACATCCGGTTTAAAGGTGGAAACGGACGAATCGATTATTTATCGGAGATTCTAATCAGTCATACGAGGCGCAAAGCAATTTTGAAAGATACAAATGCATTATATATTGTAGAAAGTTTTTCATCTCATTTTTTTATTCCTAATATGCCATTT